TGCTTCTGCTTCTACTTCTGCTCTTTTCTCTTTTCTCATCTTTATCTTTTTCATCATCTGTGCTGATATCACTAGCATCTCCAAAAAGAGCATCTGCTGTTGGAGCTAAAGTTTGTTTATCTTCTGGCTCACTTTCTGAATCAGAATCTATTAATGGTTTTATCTTTTTTATGTCATTATCTGCTTCTGAACCACTATTTTCTTTTGGTGCTAAGGTTGTTTCTCCATCACTATCACTTGATTTTGCACTATCTATAATATAATAATACATTTAAATAACATCTAATTTATATTTTAAGCATCAATACTAAATAACGATTATTTATTCTTTTTTTAATTTTTTAATTTACAAACCTCTTGTCTTTAATGATTTCTCAGACTCATTGTCATGTTTATTTTCTTCAGAACTTTCTGAAGAACTTTGTTCAGAATCTATTGGTTTACTTTTTTCAAGTTCAGGAGAATTTGTCATTCTAAAATGTTAACACTATTAGCAAAAGAGGTTATATAGTTTATATATTACTTGGGCTGTAACATTTACAATAGTTACAAGTAGAGGTTAGAATTAGAGACAAGAGAACTTGCATTGAATCTGGAATTTTTTATTTCCTATGTTGGCAACTATTATTTTAAAATTATGGAATACTAACCCACATAAATCCTTAGACTTTAGCCAATATGTAAGTAGTGTAGTAATAGCATGTAGTGTGTATTATGTATTATGTTTCATGAAATGCGTGTTTATGACAATTATATGACAAAAAAAACCGTATTTATATAAGATAAACGTCAAGTATGTATATATTTTTTAAAATATTTCTTATTTCTGTATAAGAATAAATTGTATTTTTATTTTTATTTTGACAAATTTATATTAGTCCATAACTTACAGATATTTGTAGTTATTGTTCGATGTAATTTAAATATAAAAGTAAATAAAATTAGTAAATGTATTGTTAATTAAATTTTTTAACTTTTTAATTTGTTATTTCTTCTATGTCAGATACATTATTTTGAGATCGCAACTTATGTTCTGTCAAAATATTTGAACGACGCTGTTCGAATGCTTCCAGTACGTCTTTTGGTATTCTTAAAGACATTGTTTTCTTAAATCCTGAAATAATATATATTTAATTTATTTTTATAGATATCATCATTGAAATATAATAAATTAAGTATTTTACTAAAAAGTGAATACCAGATTTATCCCTTAATTTCTTATTGAAGAGAACTTCAAAATTAGAAGGTCTCTTCGAAAAATCTTGAGTATCTTCTATCAAATCTCGAATAATACTACGTTTTTTTAAAGAAGATTCTGATCTATTTCTTAAATTGTTTATTGTATGATTTTCAATTGCACTTTGGAGACCTTCTGCTATATTTTTTGCATGTGTACTAGTGACTAAATCATTTGATACATTTCTTTTCTAAAAACAAATAACAAAAGTTATAGAATATAAATTAAATTATTTAATAATAATTTTTGATCGTATTACCTTTTTAAAACAGGGTAAACTTAATTTCACATTAGCAAGTATATGGATAAATGTTTTGAATCGATGACTTAACATAGCTAAAAATTGAATTAACAAAATAAAAACAAATGCAACAATGAAGAGACATCCAATTGGTTCCAAATGCTTGTACTCTTTTGCTAAATGTACCTGAAAAAAAATATATTTCAATTTGCAATAAGACCAGTATGAGTCAAAAATGATATTTATAACACATTGAAAATAAGACCTACTTCATATGAATGATCAGTATAAGTAATATTATATTCAACAGCAAAAGGCCATTGAATATACAAAATATCTTTGTTTATTTGCAACAAGAATATTGCCACTATAAATATTATATTTATCATAAAGAATTTTAAAAGATATTCATTACGTATATTTATTAATCCCCTTGTAATTTGTTGCTATAACAAAATTTAATTTTCTGTAATAATCTTTATTGATTTTTCATTTTTAATAATTTATTTTAGAAATCATACTTGTTTTTCCATGTCAATTTCGATAGGATGTAAATACTTTTCAATTAACTGTCTCCAAAATTCTTCTTCTGCGTACGAAAGAAAATCAATTTTTCCATTTTTCAAATGTTCATCTTGTATCCAGTGAGGATTTATTACATAATTTGGATCATTTTGATAATCACTGGCGCAGCTATATTCCGAAGTTTCTGTTTCTGAATCTATATTTGTATTCAAGTTTTCAGAAACTTGCAATTGTACTTCATCATATATTTTATTTTGATCATTATTTTTTTCTTCTATATTATTTTTTGATATATTGTTGAGTTCCAAAGTACTAAAAATTTCAACGAATTTAAATATGACATATTTATTATAACATTTTTGATTTTTTACTAGTATGATACCTTTCTATGTGCTTTAAACGAATATTAATTTCAGTTATAGAGGTATGAATAAATTCTAAGTATTTTTCTAATTCCTTTGAATTCTTATGTTTAGAAGTTTTACATCTAAATAAATTAAAGAAAGAAAACTTCATCTTGTTTGTAATAGTTCTTTCTTGTTCAGATTTCTGTACCTTTATATTTTGTTTATCTAATGCCTATAAAAATTATGATTTATAACGTATGAGAAATAATCTTAATATTAAAATAATAAGATAATCTTTTCATAAAGTTATACTTGTCTTTGTAATTTTGATTCTCTGGTCCCCCATGTAATATTATGTAAATTGAAGATAGAAAAAATGATGAGTAACATGTACATAGATGGTACAGTAACATAATAAATTGCTGCATTAGGTAAACATGATAATTCTTGAGGATGTAAAAAGGCTGTCATTGTAAATTGACCGATTATAATAAAAAATAAAAGAGCATTGGGTGCAATGAGTCCATCTGCTGCTATTTGTAATATTATTCCAACTAATACAATTATCATTACTAAACTATATAAGATAGTAATAACTTTTGCTGCTATAAGCTATAACAATATTAATAAAAACATTTAATTCTGTATAATTTTAAATTTAGACAATCTAAATTAATTATATAGTTTTAAATTAATTATATCTACTTGTATCTATTGATATTTTAAGTAATTACCTGCATATGTACATCATAGAAAAAACAAATAAAAATAAAAATAAAAATTGCAATTGAGTTAAGCCAAAAACTTAACCAGTTATTTAATTGAAAAGAAGTTACAAATGCCCCAACCATCATTAAGTAAATAAAAGATGGTCCTATAATTGTGCTACCTGGAGATAATAAATATAATAAATAAATAATACATATATTTATTTTTTAATATAAAATATAGAAATAATTATTTCCATATATATAATATTTATGAAATCAAATTACCTGTTAAAATCCATTCATAAGCTACATAAGGCCATGAAATATTCTTATTTAACTTTCTGGTTTCCTTTGAAGTTTCTAGTAAATCAAAAATGTTAGCCATGGTTGATGGTATCCATCGCCGACGTTGAATATAAAATTCTTCAAATGATTCTGGAGCATGTGTGTAAGCATCACTAGCTGCACAATATTCTACCTAATTCAATAATAATGAAGAGAGATGCTTATAATTAATTAAATTCTTTATTTTTTGGAAAAATAACTAATCTTCTTTTATCATAGTCTGAATTATAATGTAAATAAAAATAAAAATTTCTTACTTTACAACCAGCTTGTAAAATTAATGTACAAAGCCATCGATCTTCTCCTTGATCATATTGAATATAATGTTTGGGTTCAGTTGACTTTGTAGCATATTTAGCTATAACGTTATGTTCCATTAAAGCTTTTGCTCTAAAAAGAGAAAAGCAGCCTGGGCTGCATAGAACAGAACCTATTGTGTGCTCTGTTGATTTTTGAAGCCAATGTCCAACAGCATATTCAAACTTTTGAAACCAAATCATGGGACCTACATAAGAAAATATATTTTTAAACCATATTAAAAAATACTTTGATTTATCAAGTCTCGAAGTTCTAAAATAAATTTAGAAGAAATAAGATTGTGTTTCATATTTTTGTATATCATGTTTAAATGTTGGTAGAAGTACCTTTTCCTATTGGGTGTATTCTTCCACAAGCTCCTCCTAACTCCTTATCTTTTTTCATCAAATCTATCAATGCTTTAACAGCTGCTGGTTGAAAGTCAACATCTCCATCTAATGTTAGGATGTAAGTATTTTCTGCCACCAGTTCTTTAGTATCAAAATCTATTGATGAGTTCATAAAACGATACCCAAGAAGATAATACATGTACATGACCTATAATATAATAGTTCAATAATTGATATGAAATAAAAAGATATAATTTATATATAAATAAAAACCTATTGAAATTAGATTTATGAAAATATAGTCTTGTCTCATATTAAGAATTATTATATTTAATATACCTGACTCCATCGTTTTCTGTGTCTGATTTTATTTTTATCTTTAAGATGTACTGTTAGACATGTTTTTCCAGGTAAATTCCAAACAAGTTGACCACCATAAGGAGTTGGATATTTAGTTGGTGGTATATCAAGTATACCAAGACTTTTTATGTTTTCCTGCATTGTTTCTATAAATGTTACTACATATTCATTTACTTGGGTTTCATTTTCCTTATGATCACAAGATCCTATACAAGCGTGCATACAACAAAAGGCATCATCAAAAATTACATGTGCTGAAACAGTTCACATGTCACTTTTATTTAAACTATAAAAATTTTAACTACATGTATTAACATTTTGTATTAAATATATTATTTACTTTCAAGTTCATAATAATCTTTAATAGAAATATTATAATACTTCTGTGTAACTTTCATGGCACATTGATCTTTATCGAGTCTTAAAATACTTCCAATCAACTCATTCATTTCTTGTTTATTTTCATGCCACATAGTCGCACAAGCATAAATTTGAGGAACATGAGTATTTCTTTTGTTAGTTATATTATTCTTAGAATGTATTGAATCAGTATTATTTAAATCATATATTTTGTTTGAACTCATCTGAAATGTTTCAACTAAAAATTAACAATTAAATAAAATTTTAAATAAAATATACTACAAAAGTAATATACTACAAAAAGTAAAACCTCAAATTCCATAATAGAGTCTGAGGATTCCTTTTCTTTAGCAGTATGATAATTTTCATGTTTCCTTTTATTTAATCCTAAAAACTGATCAATCAAGATTGTATCGTAATTAGAATTATAGAAAATTTTCTCTATAGGAGCAAGTTTTTCATTTTTGCCTTGCCAAAGTTGTATTGTAATCCAAATTTGTGATAACCACCATATTATCCAACACCAAATACGCCAGTTTAAAAGAAATCCTGTTATATTCTCATATTTAGGTGCATTGAAAAATAAATAATCTGGTATTAAATTATGAA